ATCCGTAACATTAGATGGGATTCAATAAATGATATACGGAAAGGATGCAGTGGGACAAATTTTTCAACTAATTTTAATCATACAGAACGATTCAATAAAATTTTGTATTATCCGTTTGCATTAAAATATTGGATTAAATCCTTTTTAGAATATTTTATGCATTATTTTATAGAAATAAAACTGTAGGAAATGAATAAAATATTAAATAAAATGAAGTAGTATGACTTCAAATACTATAGATATAAAAAACTCGAGTAAAATGAATAATATCTTCATTTGAACAAGAATAGTTTGATGAAAACCTCATCTTTGTTCAAAAGGCAATCGATTTTTTTTGGAATGAATTTTTTAATGAAATATATGACAAAAAGTAATGAGAATAAAGCTTATTAAATTGTGGAATGGATTGTATTGTATTGTGATCAAAATAGTATTAAAACAATTATTATCATAAATGAATTTTAATTGTTGGTTGAAATGATAATCATTTCTAATGTTCGGTAAATTAATTCTCTTCAGGTGCAAAAAATTAAATTAAGATTGTTTGTTTTGGAGGGGGAGGGATTTAACTAATAATGTTAACAATTATAGTTTATAATTGAAAGATATGATTTACGCGTCTGGATTAGGCCTTGAAAAACGACGAACAAGAAGCCGAATTTGTTCACCCGGTTGAATTCCATCTTCGACATGTATACTCATGTATCCTCTTTCATCAATTTCTGAATATCCTCGCTGTAATAATATTAACATATTGGATGTATCGATTTGTTAATGTGATTGATTGATCTATCTTACGGCTATTATATGAGAAAGAAGGTGTGATCAATGATTAAAAGTAGTCAAGACAAGGAAGCATTAATAAGAAAAGGAATGTGATGGATCATTTTATATCCGTTCCTCACTTTCTTAATCTATTAACAATTAAAATGAATGCAAATATCGATAAGTAGGATTGACTGATTTGATCCAACTTTCTGGATCACTGGAAGGAAAACACCGATCCAATCAATTAGGCTTTCAAAAAAAAATAAATTATTCAAACGTTGTATGCAGTATCACGTTATATCACGTTATCTCGATAACATTGAAAACAATGCCCAGCAACTCAGCCTCCTCGATCTACGTGAAACTGCATGCGTGATCACATGTGTATGTGCGTACGCACGTTTGTTTTCATTGTTTGTGATTTCTTTTCTGTTTTCATTTGCATGGAGTTCACGGAATCATTAGATCGATAGATTAAAAAGGATGTGTAACTATCATTTATTGTTTTCTCTATAAGCTGATTGTACGAGTCTGCTACCGTTATTGAAAAAAAAGAGAAAGATTAAATTGTTGTTTATATCACTGCGAATTACTATTTTAAGCTGAAGTCATCAAGTAGTCTTGAGTGAGGTCAATTTGATGTGGAATGGTGATTAGCAATTTAATTTTACATTTAATTCATATATTTGATAGTACATATGTATGCGTATATGTGTTACGCGTGTGTATGTGTGTGTGTGTGTGTGTGTGTGTGTGTNTGTGTGTGTGTGTATGTGTGTGTGTGTGTGTGTGTGTATACATATATGTACGTGTGTATGCGTGTGTATGTGTGTGTGTGTGTGTGTATATGTGCGTGTATATGTATGTGCGCGTGTATACGTATATATACGTGCGTACGTCTATATGTGTGTACGCGTGTGTGTGCGTGTGTGTATGCGTGTGTCTGCGTGTGTATCTGTGTGTATGCATGTGTGTGTGTCATTTTTGTCATTAGCTTATAATCAAAATAAGAATGAGTGGGATTGAAGGCCATTTTTAGACCGTAAACTGCGAAATGCGGAATGGAAGTTACAGTCTATCAACGATATAAATGAAGAAGCCATCTTCTTACCAAAACAAATTACTGTTGTTTGAAAAAATTCGAAATAGTTCATATAGGAAATGAAAGAAATAGTGGAAATTTCTGCGGACTAAAATTCAAAACAACACAAATAATTGTATTTCAGGACCGAATGACTCATTAATTTCGGTTTTTTATGGCCAAACATAATTGGTAATCCTTTAAAGAAATCAAAAAACTTACGCAATTGAATGGCCGGTGAGCTATACAAGTGCCAATGACAAAAACGTTCACAAGAAAGACTGACAAAACAGAATAGCAGCGCATTATGAGTGCGATAATGATTCTCTTAGTATCTTTTGAAATTTTTATATTAAATTTTTATTAATTTAACATGCAAATGTTTATCAGTTTATGTGTTGAAATATTGTTTTGCAAGTGCGCATTAGATGAAGGCTGATTGAGGGATAGGGCATGTGCTTTAGTTATGAAAGATGGTGATTATTGTCTTGTAAATTAATAACAATTAAATTTGCATAATGAGGATGATAATCGGAAACTCATCATTACAACTATTCGGAATATCAGAAGTGAGTGCAAACTTTTCATTTGAGGACCGCGTTTTGAATTATACGAAGGGGATGGAGTTACTCTTGTTGATTAGTTGGTTTTGTTAAGTTATCAGTTTATGGTGTTTCTCTAGCATATTGTATAGAAAAATGGGGTGCTTGATGTTCAAGAAGATAGTAAAACGAAATGATGTTTGAATAAAGCAATTTTATTCATTCATATTTTGTAGATTGATTCAGTATCTTCAGAGTTAGTTTGACTCCTCATGACAAACAGCAACGCAAACGCAATATCTGCTGCAGCGTCTTTATGTACAATATCTGCATCAGATATGCCGCAAAGTCTTGCCAATCATCTTTACGAAAATGGTGCATTCATGGTAGGTGATATTCTGATTGAATTCATTGCGATTTAACTAATCATCCCTAATCGAGATGAATTGTCTAGTTCTAAAAAAATGTTGCTTATTTTTCGTAAGAATAAGAGGTAAGAATTCAATTTTGTTTATTGGTTTCCTGCTATGGGTGAATCTTATAATCGTTCAGTAACGAGATTTAATGTTTTTATGCTGAATTTTATGGGAAGATATTCTTGCACTGTTACCAGCTGGTTCATGAGCCATATATTTAATGCGCATTATCTTTATAAATCTAGCCTCTGTCACAAAAATAAAATCGAGCAATAAGTGGATTTAAGCATGAAATTTTGCAGGTTTTCCTTAATGTACCTCAAACAACAGAATTCGGCATCGATTATAAATCATGGCATGTAGGGCCAAAATTTCTCGGTTTAAAAATGATTCCTCCGGGCGTTCATTTCATTTTCTTCAGCGTCAAGACGGCACCACGCATTGGATTTTTCTACCGTTTTAAGGAAAAGGAAATTTTATTACGTAAATGGGACCCGATACGTGAAGATATGATAATTGAGCCATGCTCTGCAGATGAGGTAATCATTAATTACATAAGAATTTAGGAAGTCCTGTAATAACCGTTTGACTAATGTTACACAATTATGTAAGATGCGTAACTTGGAATAATTGTAACTGAGCAGTTTTGATATCTTTTTTATTCAAAACAGTTATTAATGATGTTATTATTGCAAATATTATTGCAATAGTATATAGTATTTTTCTTGTAAATAATGAAAAATCAGTACCTCATAGTCAGTGCGAAATTTTTGAAGCTTTTTTAAATTACGCTCAGTTTCCTTTTATCAGCTGTGAGATACATTCGAGTAAAGTTCAGGATGATTTAGAAGTTATTTTAATTTTTTTTTTCATTTTTCCGTTTTGAATGTAGACTATAGTGAACAATGCTATTGTTCCAACCTTTTTTCAAAACATGAAATAATTTGACTTCATTCATATATACTTCATGATTTAATTTTGGATTTTAGATAGAAAGGATATGTTCAAACTTGAAATCAATGGATGATGGCTTAGCACCGTATCCTTTCGAAACGTACCGAAATTGGTTTTCCCTCAGCAATCATATCACAGGTTTGTACACTGAAATCGTCGTATAGCGCTTTCATATTTTCCCATGTTTCTCGTTTTTCTGGATTATATCTAAGTAACTTTTGTCTGATCATTCTCAGAATATCTTAATTTTACAGAAAAAACGGTGGAAAGATTGCGACCGGAGAATCAATATAGTCGTATAACAAGTCAGGCGGAATTGGTTACCTTAGAAACTGAAATGATGGAAAAAGAGGGCGTTAGTCCATTTTTTTTTAAATTGATTTTCTATCGCCATGTGATTTATTATCTAACAAATTTCTCTCATTATTTTCTAAATTCTATTGAAACCCTAATATCCTTTATTTATCTGTCTGTCTTTAACATGAGTTTTTTTCTGCCCGGTTTCTATTTTTATTTAATTGACACTGTGTAATCTGCGCTAGCCTGTTGCTCATCAGTATTTTCATTATTTCGGGATGTAAAAGGTATATATAATTGAGATTTAATGTATTAATGCTGTGTAATGTTTGTTCTCATCATTTTAATTTTGGTGAAGTACTATTGGTATTTGTCTAATCATTATAAATTGTAACTGAATGAGAACAACTAAATGTGAAAAAGGATTGTATAATTTTAGATCTCGTTATTTTGTATTTAAGTGGATTGTTATGACTATTTGCGGAAAGCTCTACAAAAACAACTATAACTAGAAAAATGACCAGTTAATAGCGAATTTTTAGGTGCATGGACATCCGTCATCTTGTGTTGATCGTGACCATCCAACTAGGATACGATTTGTGGATGAAGAAGGTCTTCCAATTATGAAAATTAGGGAGGGTTTTCAAATACGTTTCACCGAACTTCCTCTACATTCCGTGGTAAGCACAAGTTTTTACTACTGTTAGTTTCATAGTTTCTCTTTTTATATGTATTCTGATGATATTAATAGGGTACCATAAAAATAACAATAATTGCCTTGTTTACCTAGCTTTACCCGATTTTCTTTAAATTTTGTTTGGTGCAAATTTTTGTATTCGATCAGTTGTTTAGCAGTTTTTTCAATTTCACTTATTTTTATTTTAATATTGGAAAAGTCTTACATGAAGAAATCGTGAGGCAAATGAAAATTCAGCAAGCTGGGAAGCTCCGTTTTAGGCTGTTTCAACCAATGCAGAGAATCCATTAGATCGAAGTTGGCAGTTACACAAAATTCTTGTCGATCTTAGCGGAGAGTGGTCTGAGTTTCTTGGAGAAATGCAGTTTGCATTTGTATGCTTTCTGATGGGGCAGGTAATAACTTTATCTCATTCGGAGTTGAATAATTATGCTTTTTTTTTAACATTTCACAAGTTTTCATTGCATATTGATTTTAGGTTTATGAGGGTTTTGAACAGTGGAAACGATTGATTCATTTGTTGTGCAGCTGTACAAAGGAACTCACGGAGAGTAGGGAGTTGTATATGGCATTAATACCGGTACTTCATTTCCAGTTAAGAGAGTGTCCTAAAGACTTCTTTGTCGATATTGTTTCGCGAGATAATTTCTTAACAACTACACTTACTAGACTGTTCGGAAATATAAATGGTAAGTAAACTGATATTTCAAATTCACTTCACTTTACTTTCGAGTTTTGAATTAAAGATTCGAAAATTTCTGAAAATTTTGATTGAATACTTTCTGCAAGCAAAGCAACAAGACTAATACCTAAAAATAAAATAATTGAGATTATAAGATCAATACCAAATAGCTGGTAAGTTTAAAGAATACGTCTGATGATGGCTTTGCGGACTCATAAATCTACAAATTTGTTTCACGAATTTATGTTGTATTAAGGGATACATTTAGTCATGCAACTCTGAGAAATAATGACAGGAACTCTTAATGGCTTAACAG